AAATATTAAAATAATCTTTCAAGGCATCACAAAGATTTCCGATACAAAAACGATATCTTTTGACACTATTTAAAGGTGCACCCTCCTTGGATCATTTAGGTCCTTAGCCTTCTACAAATCACACCCATACTTTATTACTCTCTATTGCCACCCGTTTTTGGGTCGAAACAACAAAAGATGAGCACAAAAGTGCCCCCTTCCTTTCCTTTTACGATCATATTTGAAAATTCCTTGGGTTAATGTCGATATCCATGCAAAGCCTATGAATAACAAGTGGGTAATTCATGGAAAATGTCATTTTATTAACTTAATTTATAAATGATTTTATTTATATTTTATAAGTTTCACTTTTGAGACCATACTGCATTTTACTTATATTGTTTATCTATTGGATTAAGTTCAAGTTTAGAATACTTATAACTCTAACCATCACATAGATATGAAAATAGGAAAAATATACAACGAGACCATTTACTTTTAGTATTCGGTGGTTACATTTAATCTTGACCATTGAATGTGAAATTAGGTTGTTGCATTTAGTCCATCGACCAAGCTTAAAGTTCAAAAGAAATTTTTTCGAACTTTATGACACACCCAAGCTATTAGATATCACAGCAGATAGTTATAAGTAATTATAACTTTCTTGTATCAAAAGTAAATGGTCTCATTATATCAAAAGTGAATGGTCTCATTGTATTAAAGGTAAATGATCTCATTGTATATAATCAACATGAACATATTAAAAAATTTGTTTGAAATAAAATGATCAAAATATCTCTATAACTTGTAGAAATATTTTGGCTATTGTATTTTACCAAATTATTTGTATATTTCTTCCCGGCGCCTGATGAGGAGCAAAAAGTACTTGGAGAAAATGAGATGGGATTTTCAATATAAAGGTCACAATTATATTTAAACATAAGATAAGATGAGCTTAAATATTGGTTTGATAAATTTTATTACAAGTTTTGTGCACCCCGAAGCCATTTGATTTGACTATCTAATAATTGTGACTGCCACCACTTTGTGCTAAAAATAAATGATTTTATTGTATAAAATAAAATTAAAATACACTGCATCCTTCTTTAAAAGGCCTTTGACCATAAAATATTTTTAAATTACAATAATAAAATAACACTTTCACTAAAATTTCCTAAAATCCAGCAAGAGAGTCCCATGGAACAAGGAAAAGTGAGCTACTTTGACAAATATCTGATGAGGAGGGACAATATTGTCATTCACAAAAGGTGGAGGGCTATTCCTCCATATTCACTGCGAAAATGTGAAAGTCCTCCTATAAGGAGGCTAAGGTAGGGAGAGAAACCCAAAAAGGATTCTTAGAGAGAGAAGGACAACGCGGTGAATCATGTACACACGTAGCCGATTTATTTTCATTATTGTTTGATTGTTGTTTTTCTTTTATTTCTTTAGCTTTAAATAGAAAGACTTTGGCCTCTTCTGGTTTTCAATTAATCCCAGGACTTCAAGGCTTCGACAACTTACAGTTCCTCCAAAGATTTTTTAACTTTTCGGATAAAAAATTCGGAAACTTCCATGAAAATTGGAAGAAATTTCGCTTTGCAAACATGTATTTGACATGAGCTGTAAATTCATTTTATTATTTTTATCACGCCTTTTAAGTTTCCGTTTTTTTACGATTTTTTGCTATATTTGTGAGATCCATTCTGTTTATTATTTTATCACGCCTTTTAAGTTTCCGTTTTTTTACGATTTTTTTGCTATATTTGTGAGATCCATTTTTTTGGCTATATTTTTGAGGAAGTCTCTGATCTTGGAATCTCTGCAAATATTGTTTTTATAGTATTTGAGTGAGAGGATTTTGGAAATGGAAAGAAGACAATTTACTTTTAACTTTGCCTGATCTTCTGATATTTTGAAGTTAAGAGAGAGAAGAGAGATTGTAGAGAGAGTCCAATTTTTCAGGATAACAGCAGTTATCCACTTCTCTATCAGAGAGAAATTCTAGAGAGAGAGAGAGAGAGAGAGAGGC